CATCAAAACTAAATAACATGAGGGACTACCTAAGCAATGCCCACAGTTTGTATCCAGTTAGGCAGGCCCTTGAATTACATAGTTGATGGCTGGGCTGTATTTTAATTCCTGGAACATGTAGGTGCTCAGTGCTTGGTGACTTAAAGGAGAACTATGAGGTGAGTAAAAATCACTCATTCTCATAGTTCGAGCCGACGTGTGACAATTAAACTGTCACGCGTCGGCTCAATTGATCGGGAAGCGAGCGAACGCATACCGTCGCTTGCTCACTTCTCGATCCTCTCCCTGCAGAGAGCCATGACTGTCAGTCATGGCTCCCTGCAGGGATCCCCCCCCCCCCCCTGCAGGGATCCGACCCGGCTGCGGCGGTCTCAGTATACCGCGAGCTGTAGCTCGCGATATACTGAGCTTTGGGTCACAGGAGGAGAAAAACACTTACCCCATAGTTCTCTTTTAAGTAACATCTGTCTGCAAGGATCACATCTATTTCTCAGAACATTGTTTTTTCTTGATCTAATCTGGTTTAGACTATTGTGATAAGGTGTATAAAACCTTACGTGAGAAGACTGCAGATGATGGAGAAATATGTGTGGCTAGTAAATATATAAGAAAAGATGCCTCTTTGCCACTGCAGCCTATAGGCACACACCTACTGTGCCTAAAGGGAAACCCATCTCTGGTTGTCGATAGATCTAAAGGCGATTGTACAATCAGATTGTAATCTGTATAGTTTACTTACACTTTTATAAAGCAATCACCATTTCCAATTTTAACTTTTGAATAAAAAGATACCTTAGCATTAGCTGTAAACTGACAACAACTGAGCATATGCAAAACCTTTCAGCTTTTTATCAGTTAACTACATTACAGTTTCAACCAAGAAATTGAAAAAACAACACTTTATAAAAGATTTGAATAGCAGAACAGGAACTTACTTTCATCATGAATGAAGTCCTCATAAGATTCCCATGTCGAGTTACTCCAGTAAAGGCTGTCACCTATGCTTTGGTTGTAAGATGTGAAATTTCGAACACATTTTTGTTTTAAGTGGCCCATAAAGAGTTGTAGCCCTATCAAGGCAAACACGCTCAAACAGAAAACTGTTAAGATCATAACGTCTGCCAGCTTCCTAACTGACTGGATAAGGGCTCCGACAATGGTTTTCAGTCCTGACGAAAATAAGATAAACAGTTACAAACATAGTACATGAATAGTACGTCCAGTATAGTTTACTACATGGTAGCTCGTGTCCTGATGACATGCGTATGAAAAGATATCTACTGGTACCATGAAAGGCACAAAGCTGCAAGACCATTACTTGTATGCAATACAAGCTTAAGTCTCTGCAAGCTGCTACAATATCCCTTCTTCTATTAAAAGTTTTATATTAAACAATGAGGGAATGAGTTGAGTGGCACAGTCAAGCGCATTGTGCTTGATTGTTCGTTTGGGGTGCCGTTTTAAATGAGTGGGCAAAGCAATGCACCTCCCTCACTGTAACGCACAGTAATGTGTTGTGTGGTAGTGTGCAATAATCTACTGATTCTAATGCAAAGGTCTTTTTTGAGTCAACTTCTAAAGGTAAGAAGTAGCTCCTAAACTCTGAACAAGGCACTGGAATACATTGCTGTTCCAGTCCTACTTTAAAGAGCATCTCCGTCAAATTGTTCTGTTAGATTTGGATGAAGGAAATCAGGATATGATCCCTTGACAGGTCTTTTTTTTCTGTTGTCTGCCCCCTTCCCTTTTACTGTCAGGTAAACTTCCTGGTTTCCTCTTCTGAAAAGCATTTTCTATATAGTCTTACAGAAGGATTAGGGGGCTAGTGACAGCATATTGCCACTAATCTTTACATTCTTCTTCTATGAATAACTATTAGAGGAATGGGGACCTCTGGACAGCATTTAAAAAAAACTAAAGGTTGTAGTTCAAAATAAAATTGTGTTTCTCTTCTAGTACGTTGCAAGCTCAGAATTTAGCTAAATTCTTTAATTCCACCATTTATTGCCATACATAGGGTCTATTCACTAAGCTGCCGTAGGCAGCCGAGTGAAGGACCGATCTGAAGTGAATTGAGCCGAACGCTGTTCGTCTATTCACTTCAGGCAGGTACGGCTGATTTCAGCCATATATCGGCTGAAATCAGCCGTACATCGGGTGGCTTCACGTGGCTTCGGGTCAGCCAAACATGCTCAGCAAGTTCGGCCGACACGAAGTGCAGGAGGAGTTCAACTCAGCCGATCCAGATCCAACATCTGGATCGGCTAAGCCGAATCTCCGGCAGGCTACTCGCTGCTGTTTGGTCTATTCTTATAGATGCCGAACAGCAGTGAGTGAATAGCTGAATGCCGCTGAGCGGCATTCGGCTCGGCTGTTCTGCTTGGTACCTCAGAGGGACCGAGCAGAACAGAAAAATAGTTTTAAAAGTCCAAAAAAATAAATAGAAAACAATTGTGCGGAGCTAGCAATGACAGCTAGCTCCGCCCAATAGTTTTCTATTGGCCGGCAGTTCTGCTGCCATAAAAAAACTAAAAAAAACAACTCTCCTGGGCGCTCTGGGAGTCTCCCGCTCCCGGCTGCCCAGGAGAGAAACAATGATTATTGGCTATTTCAATGTGCAATAGCCAATAGTAAACTAGCATTGCACCCGCCCTCTGCTGCAGTTCTCCATCAGGTCCATCAGCAGAGGGCGGGTGCAATGCTAG